ATAAAAGGAAGTGTCCAGGAGGAGATGGAGACTGGATCCAGGAGGTGTCCAGGAAGAGAGAATGTGGATGAAAAAGGAAAAAAGAGAGAATGTGTCCAGGAAGAGAGGAGGAGAGATGGAGACTGGATGTTAGCAAAAAACAGGTGTCCAGGAAGTGAGAATGTGGGAAGAGAGAAGTGTCTGAAGAGAGAATGTGTGGGCGCTTAAAAGGAAGTGTCCAGGAGGAGAGATGGAGACTGGATGTTAGCAAAATGAGGTGTCCAGGAAGAGAGAATGAGGGATGTTAGCAAAAGGAAGTGTCCAGGAAGAGAGAATGTGTGGGCGCTTATAAATGGAAGTGTCCAGGAGGAGAGAGATGGAGACTGGATGTTAGCAAAAAAATGAGGTGTCCAGGAAGAGAGAATGTGTGGATGTTAGCAAAAGGAAGTGTCTGGAAGAGAGAATGTGTGGGCGCTAATAAAAGGAAGTGTCCAGGAGGAGAGATGGAGACTGGATGTTAGGGCAAAAATGAGGTGTCCAGGAAGAGAGAATGTGGACGTTAGCAAAGGAAGTGTCTGGGAAGAGAGAATGTGGGGAAAGCACAAAGGAAGTGTCCAGGAGGAGAGATGGAGACTGGATGTTAGCAAAATGAGGTGTCCAGGAAGAGAGAATGTGTGGATGTTAGCAAAAGGGAAGTGTCTGGAAGAGAGAATGTGTGGGCGCTAATAAAAGGAAGTGTCCAGGAGGAGAGAATGAGACTGGATGTTAGCAAAAAATGAGGTGTCCAGGAAGAGAGAATGTGAGGATGTTAGCAAAAAGGAAGTGTCTAGGAAGAGAGAATGTGGGCAGGGAAGTGTCCAGGAGGAGAGATGGAGACTGGATGTTAGCAAAAATGAGGTGTCCAGGAAGAGAGAAATGTGGAGGACGTTAGCAAAAGGAAGTGTCTAGGGAAGAGAGAATGTGGGGCGCTAATAAAAGGAAGTGTCCAGGAGGAGAGATGAGACTGGATGTTAGCAAAAATGAGGTGTCCAGGAAGAGAGAATGTGTGGATGTTAGCAAAAGGAAGTGTCTAGGAAGAGAGAATGTGTGGGCGCTAATAAAAGGAAGTGTCCAGGAGGAGAGATGGAGACTGGATGTTAGCAAAAATGAGGTGTCCAGGAAGAGAGAATGTGGGATGTTAGCAAAAAGGAAAGTGTCCGGGAAGAGAGAGAATGTGACAGGAGGAGAGATGAGAAATGTTAGAAAAATGAGGTGTCCAGGAAGAGAGAATGGAGGATGTTAGGGAAGTGTTAGGAAGAGAGAATGTGGGCGCTAATAAAAGGAAGTGTCCAGGAGGAGAGATGGAGACTGAGAAGGCAAAAATGAGGTGTCCAGGAAGAGAGAATGTGAGGACGTAGCAAAAGGAAGTGTCCGGGAAGAGAGAATGTGGGGATGCTAATAAAAGGAAGTGTCCAGGAGAGAATGGAGACTGATGTTAGCAAAAAATGAGGTGTCCAGGAAGAGAGAATGTGAGGACGTTAGCAAAAGGGAAGTGTCCGGGAAGAGAGAAGGAGTCCAGGGTGGACGCTAATAAAATGGAAGTGTCCAGGAGGAGAGATGGAGACTGGATGTTAGCAAAAATGAGGTGTCCAGGAAGAGAGAATGTGGAGATGTTAGCAAAAGGAAGTGTCCGGAAGAGAGAATGTGTGGGAATGCTAATAAAAGGAAGTGTCAGGAGAGAGATGAACTGACTGATAGTTAAAAAATGGTGTCCAGGAAGAGAGATGTGTGGATGTTAGCAAAGGAAGTGTCCGGGAAGAGAGAATGTGTCAAGCAATAAAAGGAAGTGTCCAGAGAGAGATGGATGACTGGATGTTAGCAAAATGAGGTGTCCAGGAAGAGAGAATGTGGGATGTTAGCAAAAGGAAGTGTCTGGGAAGAGAGAATGTGGGCGCTAATAAAAGGAAGTGTCCAGGAGGAGAGATGGAGACTGATGTTAGCAAAAAATGAGGTGTCCAGGAAGAGAGAATGTGAGGATGTTAGCAAAAAGGAAGTGTCTAGGAAGAGAGAATGTGGGCGCTAATAAAAGGAAGTGTCCAGGAGGAGAGATGGAGACTGGATGTTAGCAAAAATGAGGTGTCAGGAAGAGAGAATGTGAGGACGTTAGCAAAAGAATGGGAAGTGTCCAGGAAGAGAGAATGTGGGCGCTAATAAAGAAATGTGTCCAGGAGGAGAGATGGAGACTGGATGTTAGCAAAAAAGGTGAGGTGTCCAGGAAGAGAGAATGTGTGGATGTTAGCAAAAAGGAAGTGTCTAGCAAAAGAGAGAATGTGGGAGAATGTAAAGCAAAAGGAAGTGTCCAGGAGGAGAGATGGAGACTGGATGTTAGCAAAATGAGGTGTCCAGGAAGAGAGAATGTGAGGACGTTAGCAAAAGGAAGTGTCTGGAAGAGAGAATGTGTGGGCGCTAATAAAAGGAAGTGTCAGGAGGAGAGATGAAGACTGGATGTTAGCAAAAATGAGGTGTCCAGGAAGAGAGAATGTGTGGATGTTAGCAAAAGGAAGTGTCCAGGAAGAGAGAATGTGGGGACGCTAATAAAAGGAAGTGTCCAGGAGGAGAGAATGAGACTGGATGTTAGCAAAAAATGAGGTGTCCAGGAAGAGAGAATGTGTGGATGTTAGCAAAAGGAAGTGTCCAGGAAGAGAGAATGTGTGGGCGCTAATAAAAGGAAGTGTCCAGGAGGAGAGATGGAGACTGGATGTTAGCAAAAATGAGGTGTCCAGGAAGAGAGAATGTGGATGGTGTCTAAGGAAGAGAGAATGTGTGGGCGCTAATAAAGGAAGTGTCCAGAGAGAGAGAGAAATAAAAAAGGAAGTGTCCAGGAAGAGAGAATGGAGGATGTTAGCAAAAGGAAGTGTCTAGGAAGAGAGAATGTGGGCGTTAATAAAAGGAAGTGTCCAGGAGGAGAGAATGGAGGATGTTAGCAAAAATGAGGTGTCCAGGAAGAGAGAATGTGTGGATGTTAGCAAAAGGAAGTGTCCAGGAGGACTGGAACTGGAGGGAAGAGAGAATGTGGGAGGACGTTAGCAAAAGGAAGTGTCTAGAGAGAATGTGAAGTGTTCAGGAGGAGAGGAGGAGAGAATGAGACTGATGTTAGCAAAAGTGAGGTGTCTAGGAAGAGAGAATGTGAGGACGTTAGCAAAAAAGTGTCCGTGAAGAGAGAATGGAGGATGTTAGGAAGAGAAGTGTGTGGGAAGAGAATGTGGTCAAGCTAATAAAAGGAAGTGTCCAGGAGGAGAGATGGAGACTGATGTTAGCAAAAATGAGGTGTCCAGGAAGAGAGAATGTGGGATGTTAGCAAAAAGGAAGTGTCCAGGAAGAGAGAATGTGTGGGCGCTAATAAAAGGAAGTGTCCAGGAGGAGAGAACTGGATGTTAGCAAAATGAGGTGTCTGGAAGAGAGAATGAGAGGACGTTAGCAAAAGGAAGTGTCCGGGAAGAGAGAATGTGTCTGGAAGAGAGAATGTTAATAAAAGGAAGTGTCCAGGAGGAGAGATGAGACTGGATGTTAGCAAAAATGAGGTGTCCAGGAAGAGAGAATGTGAGGACGTTAGCAAAAGGGAAGTGTCCAAGAGAGAATGTGAGGACGCTAATAAAAGGAAGTGTCAAGAGGAGAGATGGAGACTGATGTTAGCAAAAATGAGGTGTCCAGGAAGAGAGAATGTGTGGATGTTAGCAAAAGGAAGTGTCCAGGAAGAGAATGTGTGGGCGCAAATAAATGGAAGTGTCCAGGAGGAGAGAATGACTGGATGTTAGCAAAAATGAGGTGTCCAGGAAGAGAGAATGTGAGGACGTTAGCAAAAGGAAGTGTCTGGGGAAGAGAGAATGTGGGCGCTAATAAAAGGAAGTGTCCAGGAGGAGAGATGGAGACTGATGTTAGCAAAATGAGGTGTCCAGGAAGAGAGAATGTGGGATGTTAGCAAAAGGAAGTGTCCGGGAAGAGAGAATGTGTGGGCGCTAATAAAAGGAAGTGTCCAGGAGGAGAGAATGACTGGATGTTAGCAAAAATGAGGTGTCCAGGAAGAGAGAATGTGAGGACGTTAGCAAAAGGAAGTGTCCAGGAAGAGAGAATGAGAGCGCTAATAAAAAGGAAGTGTCCAGGAGGAGAGAGAGGATGTTAGCAAAAATGAGGTGTCCAGGAAGAGAGAATGTGGATGTTAGAAAAGGAAGTGTCCAGGAAGAGAGAATGGAGAGCGCAAATGTTAGGAAGTGTCCAGGGAGAGAGACTGATGTTAGCAAAATGAGGTGTCTGGAAGAGAATGAGGACGTTAGCAAAAAAAAGTGTCCAGGAAGAGAGAATGTGGGGCGCTAAAAATGAAGTGTCCAGGAGGAGAGATGGAGACCAATGTTAGCAAATGAGGTGTCTGGGAAGAGAGAATGTGAGGACGTTAAAAATAAAGTGTCTGGGAAGAGAGAATGAGGATTAGTGAAAAGAAAGTGAAAGGAAGAGAGAATGTCTAATAGGAGAGAATCCAGGAGGAGATAATGAGAGATGTTAGCAAAATGAGGTGTCCAGGAAGAGAGAATGTGTGGATGTTAGCAAAAGGAAGTGTCCGGGAAGAGAGAATGTGTGGGCGCTAATAAAAGGAAGTGTCCAGGAGGAGAGAATGACTGGATGTTAGCAAAAATGAGGTGTCCAGGAAGAGAGAATGTGAGGACGTTAGCAAAAGGAAGTGTCCGGGAAGAGAGAATGTGTGGGCGCTAATAAAAGGAAGTGTCCAGGAGGAGAGATGGAGACTGGATGTTAGCAAAAATGAGGTGTCCAAGAGAGAATGAGAGGAGAGGAGTGTTGGGAAGAAAATGAAGAGCCAAAAGGAAGAGAGAATGAGGATGTTAGTTAAAGGGAAGAGGTGTCCAGAAGAGAGAATGTGTGGTGTTAGCAAAATGAAGTGTTAGGAAGGAATGAGAGGATGTTGGTTTAGTCTAGAAGAGAGAATGCACGGGAGAAGAGATGAAGTGTCTGGGAAGAGAGAAAAGGAATAATCAGAAGGAAGAGAGAAGAGAAAATAGACAAAGAAAGAGAGAATGAAAATGAGGTGTCCAATGAGAGAAATGAGGAAGTTTTAGCAAAAGAAATAGGAAGAGAGAATGTGTGGGCGCAAAAAGAAAGAGCCCAAGAAAAAGAGAAGAAAAGGATGTTAGAAAAAAAAAGATGTCAAAAGAGAGAATGTGGAGACTTAAGCAAAAGGAAGAGCCCAAGAAGAGAGAATGTTAGTAAAAAATCAAAAAAAAAAAAATGACCAGGACAGAAATAGGGTTTTGCCAAAAAGGCCTGAAGATAGTATGTGTAATGAGTGTGTTAAAAGAGAATATGTGGAATATGTTAGCAAAAAAAGAGCCCTAAAACAAGAGAATGTGGGCGTTAACGAAAAGAAGTGCCAAGAATATGGAATGTAGCTGTTAGCAAAAGTGGGAGACCAAAAAGACAGAATTTGTGGTTATTTGCAAAAGGAAAAGAGAAACATGACAGGATGTGTGGGTTACTTTGAAAAAGAATAGACCAAGAAGACAGAATATGTGTGTGTTTCAAAAGAAAGATCCCCAAAAGGCAGAAGTTGTAGATGTTAACAAAAGGAGTAGCCCAAGAAAAAATCAATGTGTCGATGCTCGTAAAATGAAGAGCTCAAGACAAATATAATGACTGTGGGTTTTATGAGGTGTCTGGGAGGAAGAATGTGTAGAAAAGAATGTCTGGATTAATAAAAGGAATAAGGAGCGTTAAAAAGAAATTGTCCCAAAAGATAGAAAAGTGGCACAAGAAAACAGAATGTGTGAATGTTAGAAGAAAGGAAGAAAGATTACCAGAATGAGAGGGCCAGGAAGAAGGAATGATCCCAAAAGATTAATGTGGGAGAGAGAATCTTGATAAAAGGAAAAGCACAAGAAGACAGAATGCGAGGGTGAGGTTCCAAAAGAGAGAAAATATAATAATGAATGTTTGGGAGAATTAGCAAAAAGAAATTGCCCAAAAAGAGAGAATGAGGGTGTTAGAAAACTGAAAGACAAAAGAGAATGAAGGAAGATGAGAGAATAAAGGGTATGAAAAAGAAGAGCCCAAGAAAACAGAATGTTACGAAAGGAAGAACTGAAGAAGAGAAAATGATGTATGGGTGATATCAAAAGGAAGGTCTGAAGAAGACAGAATATTTGGGTCTTAGTAAAAGAAAGAGCCCAATAAGAATAAAGTTGTGGATGTTAGTAAAAGGAAGAATCTAAGTAAACAGAATATGTTGGAGATAGCAAAAGGGTGAGCCCAAAAAGGCTGAATGTGTGGGTGTTAGAAAAACTAAGTGTTCCCGAAGACAGGAAGAGAGCAAGAAGTGAGAATGTGTAGGTCGTAGCAAAAGAAATAGAAAAAAAATCAGAAAAAGAATGAGAAGTATGCAATAGAGTAAGAGCAATGAAAATGTTGATTTTCTGTGGTTGTAAAGAAAAAGAAAAAAACCAAAAAGACAGAAAGTGGGTTGGTAATAAAAAGTATAGCCCCAAGAAAATGAAACATATGGGTATTGAAAAAAAAGGGACAGAAGCAAAATGAATCTGTATGCATAAGGGAAAAGGAAAAACCCAGGAAGACAGAATGTTTGAGTCGGGAAAAGGAATAGCACAAGAAATGAGAATATGTGCATGATAGAAAAGTGTGAGATGAAGAAGACAAATATGTGGTTTTTTTGTAAAAGGAATAATCCAGGAAGACAGGATGTGTGGGGTCTTAATAATAAGAATAGCACAAGAAATGAGAATAAAAGAAATGATAGAAAATGTGAGATGAAGAAGACAACATGTGTGGTTTTAGTAAAAAAGGAATAACCAGGAAGACAGGATGTGGGGTCTTAACAAAAGGAATAACACAAGAAATGAGAATATGGATGATAGAAAAAAGGATGAGATGAAGAAGACAACATGTGTGGTTTTAGTAAAAGGAATAATCTAGAAGACAGAATGTGGGTCTAAGAAAAGGAATAGCACAAGAAATGAGAATATGTGCATGATAGAAAAAGGATGATGAAGAAGAGGAACAAATGTGTGGTTTTAGTAAAAGGAATAATCCAGGAAGACAGGATGTGGGGTCTTTAATAATAGGAATAGCAAAAGAAAATGAGAATATGTGCAAAAAAAATAGAAAAAGACAGTGTGAGATGAAGAAAAGACAAATGTGTGGTTTTAGTAAAAGGAATAAGCCAGGAAGACAGAATGTGGGTCTTTAAAATAGGAATAGCACAAGAAAAATGAGAATATGTGCATGATAGAAAAAGTGTGAGATGAAGAAGACAACATGTGTGGTTTTAGTAAAAGGAATAATCCAGGAAGACAGGATGTGTGGGTCTTAACAATAGGAATAGCACAAGAAATGAGAATATGTGCATGATAGAAAAAGTGTGAGATGAAGAAGACAACATGTGTGGTTTTAGTAAAAGGAATAATCCAGGAAGACAGGATGTGTGGGTCTTAACAATAGGAATAGCACAAGAAATGAGAATATGTGGGTAGTAGAAAAGGAAGAGATGAAGAAAACAAAAAGTGTGGTTTTGTACAGTAAAAGGAATAGAAAAAAATATTCCCCAAGACAGAATGTTGGGGTCTTAAAAAAAAGGGCTTAAATAGATAGAATGTTGAATTGAAAGGAAGAGCCAGGAAATAGAAGAATGTTGGGTCTCAGCAAAAGCATGAGCCCAAATAGACAGAATGTTGGGTCTAGAAAAAGAATGAGATGAGAAGACAACATGTTGGGTTTCAGCAAAAGGATGAGCCCAAGAGAGAATGTTGGGTCTCAGCAAAGGATGAGCCCAAAAGAAGAATGAGAATAAAGTGCATGATAGAAAAAAGAGATGAACAGACAATATGTCCCAGCAAAAGGAATAGCCCAACAAGACAGAATGTTGGGTCTAAGCAAAAGGATGAGAAAATGAGAGAATGTGGGTGTAGCAAAAGATGAGCCTAAATAGATAGAATGTTGGGTCTTTTAGTAAAAGCATGAGCCCAAAAGACAGAATGTTGGGTCTTAATAAAAGAATGAGCCAAAAAGACAGAATGTTGGGTCTTCAGCAAAGAATGAGCTAATAGACAGAATGTTGTCTCAGCAAAAGGAAGAGCCCAAATAGACAGAATGTTGGGTCTCAGCAAAAGCATGAGCCTGGCCAGACAGAATGTTGGGTCATGGGCTGTGCAAAAGGATGGGTCCAGCAAAGCATGGTAAGAGACAGAATGTTGGGTCTCAGCAAAAGGATGAGCCCAACAGACAGAATGTTGGGTCTCAGCAAAAGAATGAGCCCAAAGAGACAGAATGTTGGGTTTAGTAAAAGGATGAAAAATAGACAGAATGTGGGTCTTCAGCAAAGGATGAGCCCAAATAGATGAGAATGTTGGGTCTCAGCAAAAGCATGAGCCCAAATAGACAGAATGTTGGGTCTCAGCAAAAGGATGAGCCCAAATAGACAGAATGTTGGGTCTCAGCAAAGCATGAGCCCAAATAGACAGAATGTTGGGTCTCAGCAAAAGCATGAGCCCAAATAGACAGAATGTTGGTCTCAGCAAAAGAATGAGCCAAATAGACAGAATGTTGGGTCTCAGCAAAAGGATGAGCAAAGAGATAGAATGTTGGGTCTCAGCAAAAGGATGAGCCAAATAGACAGAATGTTGGGTCTCAGCAAAAGGAAGAGATGAGGCCTCAAATAGAAAGGGTCCAGAGAATGTTGGGTCTCAGCAAAAGGATGAGCCCAAATAGACAGAATGTTGGGTCTCAGCAAAAGCATGAGCCCAAATAGACAGAATGTTGGGTCTCAGCAAAAGGATGAGCCCAAAGACAGAATGTTGGGTCTCAGCAAAGGATGAGCCCAAATAGACAGAATGTTGGGTCTCAGCAAAAGCATGAGCCTGGGAGACAGAATGTTGGGCCTCAGCAAAAGGATGAGCCCAACATACAGAATGTTGGGTCTCAGCAAAAGGATGAGCCCAAATAGACAGAATGTTGGGTCTCAGCAAAAGGATGAGCCCAAATAGACAGAATGTTGGGTCTCAGCAAAAGCATGAGCCCAAATAGACAGAATGTTGGGTCTCAGCAAAAGGATGAGCCCAAATAGACAGAATGTTGGGTCTCAGCAAAAGGATGAGCCCAAATAGACAGAATGTTGGGTCTCAGCAAAGCATGAGCCCAAATAGACAGAATGTTGGGTCTCAGCAAAAGCATGAGCCCAAATAGACAGAATGTTGGGTCTCAGCAAAAGAAATGAGCCCAAATAGACAGAATGTTGGGTCTCAGCAAAGCATGAGCCCAAAAATAGAGAATGTTGGGTCTCAGCAAAAGCATGAGCCCAAATAGACAGAATGTTGGGTCTCAGCAAAGCATGAGCCCAAAAGACAGAATGTTGGGTCTCAGCAAAAGAATGAGCCCAAATAGACAGAATGTTGGGTCTCAGCAAAAGCATGAGCCCAAATAGACAGAATGTTGGGTCTCAGCAAAAGGATGAGCCCAACAGACAGAATGTTGGGTCTCAGCAAAAGCATGAGCCCAAATAGACAGAATGTTGGGTCTCAGCAAAAGCATGAGCCCAACAGACAGAATGTTGGGTCCTCAGCAAAGCATGAGCCCAAATAGACAGAATGTTGGGTCTCAGCAAAAGTATGAGCCCAAATAGACAGAATGTTGGGTCTCAGCAAAGCATGAGCCCAAATAGACAGAATGTTGGGTCTTCAGCAAAAGAATGAGCCCAAATAGACAGAATGTTGGGTCTCAGCAAAAGCATGAGCCCAAATAGACAGAATGTTGGGTCTCAGCAAAAAGCATGAGCCCAAATAGACAGAATGTCTCAGGCATGAGCCCAAATAGACAGGAATGTTGAGAGCAAAGAATGAGCCAAAGACAAATGTTGGGTCTCAGCAAAGCATGAGCCCAAATAGACAGAATGTTGGGTCTCAGCAAAAGCATGAGCCCAAAGAGAGAATGTTGTTGGTCTCAGCAAAAGAATGAGCCCAAATAGACAGAATGTTGGGTCTCAGCAAAAAATGAGCCCAAATAGACAGAATGTTGGGAAAAAGCATCAGACAAAAGCATGAGCCCCAAAGAGAGAATGTTGGGTCTCAGCAAAAAGCATGAGCCCAAATAGACAGAATGTTGGGTCTCAGCAAAGCATGAGCCCAAATAGACAGAATGTTGGGTCTCAGCAAAAAAGCATGAGCCCAAATAGACAGAAATGTTGGGTCTCAGCAAAAGAATGAGCCCAAATAGACAGAATGTTGGGTCTCAGCAAAGCATGAGCCCAAATAGACAGAATGTTGGGTCTCAGCAAAAGAGGAGAATGAGCCCAAAAGCATGAGCCCAAATATACAGAATGTTGGGTCTCAGCAAAAGCATGAGCCCAAATAGACAGAATGTTGGGTCTCAGCAAAAGCATGAGCCCAAATAGACAGAATGTTGGGTCTCAGCAAAAGCATGAGCCCAAATAGACAGAATGTTGGGTCTCAGCAAAAGGATGAGCCCAAATAGACAGAATGTTGGGTCTCAGCAAAAGCATGAGCCCAAATAGACAGAATGTTGGGTCTCAGCAAAAGAATGAGCCCAAATAGACAGAATGTTGGGTCTCAGCAAAAGCATGAGCCCAAATAGCCATAGAATGTTGGGTCTCAGCAAAAGCATGAGCCCAAATAGACAGAATGTTGGGTCTCAGCAAAGAATGAGCCCAAATAGACAGAATGTTGGGTCTCAGCAAAAAGACATGAGCCCAAATAGACAGAATGTTGGGTCTCAGCAAAAAGCATGAGCCCAAAATAGACAGAATGTTGGGTCTCAGCAAAAGGATGAGCCAGCAAATAGACAGAATGTTGGGTCTCAGCAAAAGAATGAACAGAATGTTGGGTCCAACAAATAGACAGAAATGTTTGGGTCTCAGCAAAAGCATGAGCCCAAATAGACAGAATGTTGGGTCTCAGCAAAAGGATGAGCCAAATAGACAGAATATTGGGTCTCAGCAAAAGAATGAGCCCAAATAGACAGAATGTTGGGTCTCAGCAAAGCATGAGCCCAAAATAGACAGAATGTTGTGTCTCAAATAAAGCAGAGCCCAAAGACAGAATGTTGGGTCTCAGCAAAAGAATGAGCCCAAATAGACAGAATGTTGGGTCTCAGCAAAAGAATGAGCCCAAATGGACAGAATGTTGGGTCTCAGCAAAAGCATGAGCCCAAATAGACAGAATGTTGGGCCTCAGCAAAAAGCATGAGCCCAAATAGACAGAATGTTGGGTCTCAGCAAAAGGATGAGCCTAAATAGACAGAATGTTGGGTCTCAGCAAAAGGATGAGCCAAATAGACAGAATGTTGGGTCCCAGCAAAAGGATGAGCCCAAATAGACAGAATGTTGGGTCTCAGCAAAAGGAATGAGCCCAAATAGACAGAATGTTGGGTCCAGCAAAAGCATGAGCCCAAATAGACAGAATGTTGGGTTTCCAGCAAAAGCATGAGCCCAAATAGACAGAATGTTGGGTCTCAGCAAAAGCATGAGCCCAAATAGACAGAATGTTGGGTCTCAGGATGAGCAAAAGAAAAAAGCCCAAATAGACAGAATGAGCAAAAAATGAGCCAAATAGACAGAATGTTGGGTCTCAGCAAAGAATGAGCCCAACAGAGAGAATGTTGGGTCTCAGCAAAAGGATGAGCCTAATAGACCAGGAATGTTGGGTCTCAGCAAAAGCATGAGCCCAAATAGACAGAATGTTGGGTCTCACAGCAAAAGAATGAGCCAAATAGACAGAATGTTGGGTCTCAGCAAAGAATGAGCCCAAATAGACAGAATGTTGGGTCTCAGCAAAAGCCCAAATAGACAGAATGTTGGGTCACAGAAAAGATGAATGAGCCAACAAAAGCAGACAGAATGTTGGGTCTCAGCAAAGCATGAGCCCAAATAGATGAATGTTGGGTCTCAGCAAAAAGCATGAGCCCAAATAGACAGAATGTTGGGTCTCAGCAAAAGCATGAGCCCAAATATAGAATGTTGGGTCTCAACAAAAGCATGAGCCCAAATAGACAGAATGTTGGGTCTCAGCAAAAGAATGAGCCCAAATAGACAGAATGTTGGGTCTCAGCAAAAGAATGAGCCCAAATAGACAGAATGTTGGGTCTCAGCAAAGCATGAGCCCAAATAGACAGAATGTTGGGTCTCAGCAAAAAGCATGAGCCCAAATAGACAGAATGTTGGGTCTCAGAAAAAAGGATGAGCCCAAATAGACAGAGCTCAGCAAAAGCATGAGCCCAAAATGAGAGAATGTTGGGTCTCAGCAAAAGCATGAGCCCAAATAGACAGAATGTTGGGTCTCCAGCAAAGCATGAGCCCAAATAGACAGAATGTTGGGTCTCAGCAAAAGCATGAGCCCAAAAGACAGAATGTTGGGTCTCAACAAAAGCATGAGCCCAAATAGACAGAATGTTGGGTTCAGCAAAGAATGAGCCCAAATAGACAGAATGTTGGGTCTCAGCAAAAGAATGAGCCCAAATAGACAGAATGTTGGGTCTCAGCAAAAGCATGAGCCCAAATAGACAGAATGTTGGGTCTCAGCAAAAGGATGAGCCAAATAGACAGAATGTTGGGTCTCAGCAAAAGGATGAGCCCAAATAGACAGAATGTTGGGTCTCAGCAAAAGCATGAGTCCAAATGGACAGAATGTTGGGTCTCAGCAAAAGATGAGCCTAAATAGACAGAATGTTGGGTCTCAGCAAAAGAATGAGCCAAATAGACAGAAATGTTGGGAATTTAGCAAAAGGATGAGCCCAAATAGACAGAATGTTGGGTCTCAGCAAAAGCATGAGCCCAAATAGACAGAATGTTGGGTCTCAGCAAAGAATGAGCCCAAATAGACAGAATGTTGGGCAAAGCATCAGCAAAATGAGCCCAAATAGACAGAATGTTGGGTCTCAGCAAAAGCATGAGCCCAAATAGACAGAATGTTGGGTCTCAGCAAAGATGAGCCCAAATAGACAGAATGTTGGGTCTCAGCAAAAGGATGAGCCCAAATAGACAGAATGTTGGGTCTCAGCAAAAGCATGAGCTAAATAGACAGAATGTTGGGTCTCAGCAAAAAGAATGAGCCAAATAGACAGAATGTTGGGTTTAGCCCAAATAGACAGAATGTTGGGTCTCAGC